TGCCAGAGCATATTTTAAAGTCATCTGTTATAACATGCCTTTCTCTTAAAAGGAGAATATAAAAGATTTTGATTTTAAAATCACTTAACATTAATAATGTATAACATAGTCAGATTTTTATTAGAACTCAGTCTTGAATGTATGTAATTTTATTCAAGAAACTTAAAATCTGCTTATTATTGTCAATGAAAATGTAACTCAGGATCAGAGATTCAGTAGCTTGATGCCACAAAATTGTCATAAAAGCTGAAAAGTATACGAGCATACCTCAGAGATACTGCAGGTTGGTTCCGGACCACCGCAATAAAGCGAGTGGTCCTGGTCTCCTTGCCGGTGGAGGGTCTTGCCTTTCATTTGTAAAAAATGCAACATCTGTGGAGTGTAGTAAAGCAAAGCACAATAAAATGAGGTATGCCTTTTAAATCCATCTCAGCTATTTGCCACTTAAAATTATGTTGTCTGCTCACAGAGTAAGAAATACCATTCTTGATGGTGCACATGTTATTATTATTATATGCAGATAAAGTGCATTACACACATTGTGGCTGGTCTTTGACGTGACAGCTATGGAGGTAGCTCCGTCAAAGAGCTTGTTCATGTGCTCCCTTGGCCACAAGCCTAGTCCGTTCCAGGCAGCCCATCCTCAGGGGTGCGCACCTTTACTGTCCGGCCTGGCTGCTGACTAGCCTGGGGACCTGGGGTGAGCTCTTGGCCTCTCCAAGACTGTACCCACCTCCTCTGTGGCGCACACTGCCCAGCACCCTCCTGCCTGCACCCATGGTAGAGCGGAGATCATTGGAGCTGCTGGGGGGCTTGTTGGGGGCAAGGGATTTAGGTTCTTCTGTCCTGCCAGTCTCCTGGGCAGCACATGCACAGGACCCCAGAACACTCCCTACAGCAATAGCCTGAAACAGCTGAGCAAGATAGGATTTCTTCTAGATCTTAAATGCACAATTTTATAATTATAGATTTGAGGAAACTGAAATGCTTTCAGAGCCTGACCTTCAGTGTAGAAGTTAAAATCCTGGTCACTCCTGCGTTCATGCCACATGAGACAGTGTCTTTTTCTTTTAAACAGTGATTTACAGTCCTTTGTTCTTCTTTCATCGAGTAAAGCTGTTGTAGTTTATACATAATTGGACAGACTGTAGAGTAAAATATCACTTCTCAAACAGTGTTGCCATCACCTGATACAGTGTGTCAGCAATTGCAAAGGTTTTCTAATGGCCGCATTGTCGATATTCTCATTCATGATATGATTTACCCAAAGCCGCTGCAGCAAAAGCTCCAACCGTGCAGTTGGATTTTATGATGACCTCGAGAAGTAATGTAAAGCACGTCATCTAAAGTCCCAAATCTTGCTAAAACACACCACTGCTCCCCCGTGCTCAGTAAGTCCCGTGCGGCGGGGGCTGGAGCTCCTGGGCCCTGCAGGGTTTGGGCCCCCGCACCTGGGAGAGAGGAGATGGTGGAGGTGAAGGGTAGGGGTATGGCCAGGCCATGCGGGCCCACTCCGGGGAGTTCCCGTCCACGGCCCAGGTGCACAGGAAGTCATGATGGGGCCAAGGTGGCAAGGCCCAAGGGAAAGTGTCTCCTTCCAAAATCTGGTCAGAGAGGGGGCAGGTACAGCTGGTCAATTAGGGCTTCTTCTGGTCTGCCAAGTTGGGGTCAGTTTCTATTTACTTACAGTAGATAAAGCTGCCCGGAGACTTTGCAAAAGGGGTGTGAGGATTTACCTCTCTTTTGGGAAAATACATAAAATTGTAAGAGAAAAAATGCACCTGATCCATCCTCATCCACATTTTATGGGTAAGAAAATGAAGACAGAGAGAGTAGGTAACTCCAGGAGCACACAGCTGACAAGTGACCTGCTCAGGGATTCCCCTGGGACTGTGCCTGTCACTCTGCTGTAACCCCCACTACCCCAGAGTTGCCTCAGGGACTGTTCAGATCACGTTAGAGAAAAACAGGTCAGTTCTTCATGGTGTGGTTGCTATGTAGAATGTTCTGGTCTTGATAGAGAAGAGAAAACTCCGTATGGGCAGGGAACGTGTGCCTGCCTCGTTCATTTCCCTCCCCCAAAGTCTCAGGACGGTGTCCGCCAGGACCTCGGTGGCTGAAGTAATTAATTATTTTGTGTTTGAAAAAAGTCAGCAAAGTAGCCTACTCTTCGTAAAGCCGTTGCAAAGTGTCTCCGACAATGTTATGCTAAGGTCTGTCGTTGTCTGCTGTGCTGATGATGACTCCTCTGTGTCCTGGTGAACATTCTAAAGCTTGATCTTCTTGTCAGCATAAGAAACATTGAAACCCGTGAAGAATTTTGTGAGTGTACTTGAGCCAAAATGGTCAACAGTTGCCTGAAATAAAACCTCAACAGATTGAGATAATGCCCCAGAGTATGGCAGTTTTGCACCTTATTTTATACATGATGATCCAAAGACAAGATGCGAGTTACATGAAATCCATTGGTGATACAGTAGGGAGGTGGGAGAAAGCAAAGCAGGAAAACCTCTGGGATTGGATGAAAAGTAGAATGATAGACACGTCCATCTACATAGGTAGGCACAGGATAGTAACAGTCAACAGTGAACGCGGTAACAATGGGGGGATTTGTGGTCTCCACAGAGAGGTGCCTGTGCTTTGAGGAGTCCGGGAAAAGGAAAATCACTTTGACAGTCTAAAGATACGTTATCGTAAGTGCAAAAAGACAATAGACAGGCTCAGTTAAGGTAAAGATGGGCCTTTGTCAGGGAAGATGCCAGCCTAGGACATGACTACCAGCCATAAACTGCTTTTAGTTAAAGAGTGTTAATTTCAGACCCTCCTTTGTCACTCTAGGTCTGAGTTTGCAAGGCCACTGCGCAGGCCCCCCTGAGCTTGTCAGGTTAGCATGTGGCCCGTCAGGTTAGCATGTGGCCCCTTTTCATCCACAGTCTGCGGATTTTTTTTTCAAATGGCTTTTGTTGTAAGTTTGGAAAGGTCTATTAAAAAGTCATTTTTAAATATTATGTCTTGACATCTTTGTTACCAGTGAAAATGGGTCGGTACCTAGTCATTGCTGCTTCTATGTGCAGACTACTTTTTGAGGTGTGAGCGGCCAAGCCTCGATTGCGAAGCTGTGGGGTCACCCTGTGCAGTGCCCTCATTGCATAAACCATCCCAGGTGGAAATCACTTGAAAGGATTCATTCTGAGATTTAGAGATTCATGTTTTCATGTAAAGCAAGTGAACTCTTTTTGTTGTTGTTTTGTTTTCTTAATCCTCACCCGAGGGTATTTTTTCCATTGATTTTTTTTAGAGGCTAGAAGGGAAGGAGGAGAGGAGAGAGGGAAAAACATCGATAGGAGAGAGTGGAAAACCTCATGTGAGAGAGACACATCGATTGGTTGTCTCCCACACACACCCTGACCCAAGGCCAGGATGGAACCTGCAACCCAGGTACATGCCCTTGACCAGGGATCGAACCTGTGACCCTCTGGTGTGAGCCAACGCTCTAACCACTGAGCAATGCCATCCAGGACAGCATGTTAACACTTAAATAGAAATCTGAATTTTTAGCTTGGTCTGATACCCTGGCTTGCTCTTGTATTTCCCGTGCACTTGCCGTGGCACAAAAGGAACAGTGGAGCCGTTAGCCTCAGGAATTGGTGTATTTACTTGAAAACCACTTCACGTCTGTGTGCCATCCCCTCATATGTGCCATCTGAGTGCCTTTCCATCTGCCTCGCTCCGCTGGTGGCGCTGAACTGGGCACGGGTCCCCGAGCAGCAGAATCCTAGACCTGGGCCGGTCTGCTCTGGAAGGCAGCGCCCAGCGTCCACAGTGGAGGCTGATCACGGTGCAGCATCCGATTCCTCTTGATCCTCCTGCTGGGCAAGGAAGCAGAAGCAAAGGCCCTTCTTAGGATCATTTCTGTCTTGACTCTGGTTTAAAGAATAAAAAGAGAGAGGCACAATCTACCCATTAACGTGCTTTAGTGTCACTTGGGAAAATAAAATAAAACCAAAATCTGCAAACGGCTGCAGTTTGCATGCCATCATAATCTCCCCGCTGACTAAATTAGGAGGTGGGCGAGCAGCCCCTACCCAGAAAGACTGAAGGCATGGCCGGCCCCCCCCCCCCCCCTCCAGTGGCACACCTCAGCGCTGGGGCTGACATCCTTCCTCCTCCAGGCTCCTCCAGAAGGTTCCAGAATTCTGTGCTTTCTCATCAGGCTAAAGCATTTTTGCCTTAGGGCTTTTCAAACTTTTCCAAGTGCACTGGAAGAAATAAGTCTCATGTTACAACCCCTCACTCACACACGTAACTGAAGCAACAATACTGTATTTGATGCACTTTTATATTTTGTATTTTATTCCCCTAAAAAAAAGCTATCCATACATACAGGCTGGTCACAACCCACTCAAAGGGTTTATGATCCACTAGTGGGTTTTAGTCACAGTAAGAAAATTTCTGCCTTAGAGTTCATGTATCAGCGAATTTTTTCTTGTTCATTCATCACAACCTCTTGTGGGAAATGAGCCTTCTGTTTTGAAGGACAAGAATTGCCAGATGAGGAGAAAGAGGGGTATGGTGTTCTGCCCAGCAGACCTGGGGGTGGAGGAGAGGGTGGACTTGGGGGGGGGGGCGGGAGCAGGCAGGTCTGAGCTCATCTAGTCCAGCTTCCGGCCCAGTGCAAGACCCTGGAGACATTGGGACTCTGTGCCTTGCTGTTCTGAGTGACAGGAATTCTGAATCGTTTCAGAAGGGAACTATCTACTGTTTGTGCTGCTGGTGCTCTGGCGTCTTTTTCAGAGTAACGGAAAGAGATTAGTTTTAGTCATTGTCAGCTTGTAGTCACTTGGCAACATGTGACTCCTGCCCGTGACCCTGGTGGGCAACCAGGGTGGATCCCCCTTGAGTGCCATGGGCAGGGAGGTGGAGGTGGCGGCAGGGTCCTGACCGTGCCAGCGGCCCGCCACGGGTGCCGGTGCCCACTGAGCCCTGTTGTGTCTCCACAGGCCTGGGCAAGACCAAGAGGAAGACGAGCGCCAGGGACGCGTCCCCGACGCCCAGCACGGACGCCGAGTACCCCGCCAACGGGGGCGCCGACCGCATCTACGACCTCAACATCCCCGCCTTCGTCAAGTTCGCCTACGTGGCCGAGAGGGAGGACGAGCTGTCCCTGGTGAAAGGGTCGCGCGTCACCGTCATGGAGAAGTGCAGCGACGGCTGGTGGCGTGGCAGCTACAACGGGCAGATCGGCTGGTTCCCCTCCAACTACGTGCTGGAGGAGGTGGACGAGGCGGCCGCGGAGTCCCCCAGCTTCCTGAGCCTGCGGCGGGGCGCGCCCCTGAGCAATGGCCAGGGCGCGCGCGTGCTGCACGTGGTCCAGACGCTGTACCCCTTCAGCTCCGTCACCGAGGAGGAGCTCAACTTCGAGAAGGGGGAGACCATGGAGGTGATCGAGAAGCCGGAGAACGACCCCGAGTGGTGGAAGTGCAAAAACGCCCGGGGCCAGGTCGGCCTTGTCCCCAAAAACTATGTGGTGGTCCTCAGCGACGGGCCGGCCCTGCCTCCGGCGCACGCCCCGCAGATCAGCTCCCCGGGGCCCGCGGGCAGCGGGCGCTTCGCGGGCAGAGAGTGGTACTACGGGAACGTGACGCGCCACCAGGCCGAGTGCGCCCTCAACGAGCGGGGCCGCGAGGGTGACTTCCTCATTAGGGACAGCGAGTCCTCGGTAAGTGACCTGGGCCGCGAGGTGCCCAGGAAGCAGGAAATGTGTGTGTGTGTGTGTGTGTGTGTGTGTGTACTGCATGGTGTGGTCCCTTTTCAAATTGTCTGAACTGACTGGAAATAGCAAAAGAATACTTGGGGCTCATATTAAGATAGAGGAACAGGATGGGCCTGTGTCACCTGCACCAGATGCAGCTCTGTAGCATACTACCTCGGCTTTGAGTGTAGTGACTCCCCTGTCCACCATGGCCACTTACTCCCCAGGAGCGGTGTCTTTTTTTATCCTCACCCGAGGACATTTTTCCATTTTTTGTTCAGATAGAGTGGGAGGGAGAAAGAGAGAGAGAAACATGGACGCGAAAGGGACACATCGAGTGGTTGCCACCCACACGACCCAACCAGGGCCGGGGACAAATGCAACCGAGGTACATGCCCTGAGCCAGAACGGAACCCCGGTCTCTCTGGACCGCAGGCCAGTGCTCTAACTGCTGAGCCAAACCGGCCAGAGCAGGAGAGGTATTCTTTTATGAAGGGTAAGTAAATGTTCTTACTTCATAGAAGGTTGGTTTGCCTCTTCACTAAGATTTCCCCTTTTCTGTTCCACAGACCTGCACATCATTTTCTCCTGGCTTCCTGTTCTGTTAGTGACCCCTCCCAGCCTGTTGGTTAACTGTTTCCCTCTGGCTCCCAGGCATGTCAGCCTCTCGGCGGAGAGCACCTGGTTTCTGGCACAGCCCTGCGTGGGTTGGGTGGTTTTTCTTTGTAATAGATATCAGCCTGAGGTCATCTCTGCCACAGACAGCACTGCTGAAGAGCTTTTGAAGCATTTATGAAGAAAATTGAAAAGGGCAGTTCTAGAGAGATGAGTTTGTGTGGGAACTCGGTCAGAAGTCAGAAGCCATCTGACTTGCAGCAGTAGACAGATTTGGGGTCTGTGTTTTGTGTATGTGCCCGAGCCTATGTGGAGGAACTGGGCCAGGATCACATGAAGTAGCCTGTGTGTGTGTGTGCATGTGTGTGCATGCACATGCATGAGTGTTATGGAACTACTCAAAGGTTTTGTAGGTTTCTTTGCAAATACACCTTCCATATAGTGAGACACCTCCTCCCCGCCCCAAAAAAATCAAAAACAAGAGTTCATTGTGATTACATTGTATTGGTTCTGACAGGCTTCAGTTTCAGTTTTTAATACAAACTATACAACGAGTAAGTATGTCCTACGTACTGTAATTGTCCTCTGAAAAGGTTGATGCTACAATAAGTGAGCGCATAGTCAAGACTCCTGTTGATTAACCTGCGAGGATTTAAGGCCACATAAATGTTTGTCCCCTTCGGAGACTCAAGAGGCAGCTATGATGTGTTCTTTTTCCAGGCAGGAGGAGCCCCTTAGTGGTGGAAATCAGACCCCGTTGCGAGGTCAGCAGCTCGTGGGGTTGGCAGCCGCCTTGGGTGTGTTTGGGCGAGCACAGCAGGCCTGGACGTTAACTACCTCTGAAATCTGAACTCGGAGATTTTCTTATCCAGCCGCCAGAGTTTATCATTCCTGGCAAGACATCACATTGAATTGTTTTCATGTGACGTAAGCTCTGTGCGTAGCTTCTTTAGATCATGTTTGAGGCTTAAAAGAATTAAATACAGCAGCGCGTTTAACTCTTCTGAGCAGAAATTCAGAGGGAGTACTGGAAACCAATTATAATATAAAGTGATTGTTCCAGAGCCCTTAAGGGATAAATATAATTCAAAGTCAAAAAGTATGATCTTGATTTAGAAAATTTCCGTTTGAAGAGCTTCTTAGAATGGAGAGGGGCTGAAGCAACCCCACAGTGTAGACATTAGCCCCATTCATTGCTGCTTCTGTCTAGGACTCGGGGTAAAGACAGTCCCTGGAAAGGGGTGGGTGAGAACAGCGTCCTGCGCGTTGCTGGCCTCAGGGAGGATCTGTTGCTTTCCGTGGGACAGTCCACAGGATGAACTCAGAGACCAAGTCCTTCTGGGTTGGGAGGTATCTGCATTGCGTGGGCTCCATCTCAGAACTGAGATGTGCTCCAGTGTCTTGTTTGTCTCACATTATCAGAGAATAAGCTGACTTTCTGCATAATTGAAACATTATTGTTTACATTTTATTTTAACCTTTTACACGGGGGCCTTTCCAAATTGTTTGCGTTCCGTCTTAATTTATAACGAGCCACAACACTCTAAGAGCGAGCTGGGGCCTTCCGTTCTAGGGCTGTGGGGCTAGAAAGCGCCTCGCTGGGACTTGGTCAGCTCCGCACCCGCAGTGGCACCGGCGGTCTAAAGACTGCCGTGTGGCCTAATTTCGTGCAGGGCTGCTTGTCCTGATGGACTTGCTGTGACATGTGGCGTCTCTGCTGTCGTTTGCCTGCCTTATGTCAAAGTGATGCTGCAGGGGGCTGAGGCATGTTGCTGCTTTTCTCCTGACGGCAGAAGTAGGCCAGGTTAGCTGCCTTGCTTGCTCATAGCCAGGTTAGCTGCCTTGCTTGCTCCTAACCAGGTTAGCTGCCTTGCTTGCTCATAGCCAGGTTAGCTGCCTTGCTTGCTCATAGCCAGGTTAGCTGCCTTGCTTGCTCATAGCCAGGTTAGCTGCCTTGCTTGCTCATAGCCAGGTTAGCTGCCTTGCTTGCTCATAACCAGGTTAGCTACCTTGCTTGCTCCTAACCAGGTTAGCTGCCTTGCTTGCTCCTAACCAGGTTTGCTCCCAGTCTGCGGCTGTTGTGGAACTGTCCAGATGGACAAATGGACGAACCCATCGATTCCTTTCTGCTGACCACTGCCTCTGCCTCTTGCCAGGGTCTCTCATCTCCTTTCCTCTCCTCCTTTGTCTTTTTTCCTGTTCATTTGCATTTCGAAGATGAGAGCCTGGCTTTCAAAGTCACCACCAGGCCAACATGAGGGCTTAAGTTCAAAATCTAACAGCACTCGCAGTGTGCCGGCCAGAGGGGTTGCGAATGGCCCAGCATTTCTGCAGGACTCAGAGGCATCTTCTTTGAATACCCTTTCCCTTGCAGCTTTTGGGCCTGGCACTTTCCCCTGACTGAGGTTGCCACGGCCGCCCGAGTGCATGTCCCAGATGTGTGTCACTTTTCAGGGTACCTGAGTGATTCCCGTACAAATAAGCTCGACCCTTGCTTGGCGGGATTTTGCATTTAAAAGTATTTAATACTTTTCTATTTTGAAAACTAAAAATATACCCAACTCTGAGTCCTAGGAAATGCGTGTTTTTTGAGGGGAGAAGTGCATATTTTGGAAAAACAATAAAAAACATTGCCACATCCTTTGACCTCCAGTGTCAGTGGCGTGGGTGTGGCATCTGCTGGACACATGTTTTATCAGCAAATGAAGGAACCAACCAAATGACCCTGGCATGGTTTTCCCTCCTGAATCTCAATCCCTATTGTTTGTTATTTCCTTTGCCTTCTCTCTCTTCCTCCCTTGCTCTCCTCTCTCATCTACAGTTGTCACACATCCTTAGCAGGTAAAGATGAAATAACATCATTTCTTGTTCTCCATATTTAATGATCATACCACTACCTGCTAATCTATAACCCATTAAATCTAGGAAATTCACAGGTCCTACCTGTCCTCTGCATGCCCATCACAGATCCTGGGTGTTTGTCCACTCCTGTCCCATGGCTGTGCTAAGAAGTCTGTACTTACGATCAGGAACGACGAGAACTCGGATTCTGGCCAGCTGTGTAGGTCATCAGTGTTTTTTTTTTTTTGCAGTTGCTACAACCTCCATTTTTGGAAAGGTTATTCAGAAAGTGACAGGGTGTGAGGAGGAGGTCTGTAGAGGTGACTAGTTTGTAGCATCAGCTTGCAGTTTAGGAAGCCAGTTCCTCTGTAAATCTGAAAGATCCCAGGACTTTGCCTGTTCCCTCATCTTTGTGTCCCACAGTAGCAGTGTACAGATACTAATGTTTTGTCATAAACACATTGTTTCTGATAGAGAAACACTATCTTGCCAGATTTAATTTAATGCACATAGTGTTTACACTAATAGTTGTATTTCATTCCTTGTTTTTTTTTCTTTCCCCCTTTATTGATTTTAGAGAGAGAGGAAGGGAAAGGGAAAGAGAGACAGAAACATCCATGAGAGAGAACATCGATTAGCGGCCTCCTGCATGCCCCCCACTGGGGATCGGGCCCACAACATCGGCATGTGTCCTGACCGAGAATCAAACCAGCAACCTCTTGGTGCATGGGTCCACGCTCAACCACTGAGCCACCCGGCCAGACTTCTTGTTCTTTTCTAATCTATTAAATTTATTTGAGCCCTGGCCGGTTTGGCTCAGCGGTTGTAGCATCGGCCTGCAGTCCAGAGAGACCCGGGTTCGGTTCCCACTAGGGGCACGCACCTCGGTTGCGGTTTGTCCCCGGCCTGGTTGGGTCCTGTGGGAGGCAGCCACTCGATGTGTCCCTTTCACGTCGATGTTTTTCTCTCTCTCTCTCTACCTCTCTCTCCTTCCTACTCTGTCTGAACAAAAAATGGAAAAATGTCCTTGGGTGAGGACAAAAAAAAGGAAAAAAATAAAATTATTTGATCAGAAAGAACAGAATAAAAGATTAGCGTAGTTCCTTGCCTTATTTTTCAAATTACAGGGTGGAACAAAAGTAGGTTTACAGTTGTAGGTGAAACACAGTGTTTATTCTTGTGTTATTATTTATTAAATATTATATTATTTTCCATACAAACAACTGTACACCTAATTTGGCCTCACCTGTATATTTCTTATAGAAATCCTAATTTTAACCAGGACTCAGTTTTCAGGCAGTTTCATCACTGTCTCTCCAGGTCGGTGATGCTCAAACGGTAAGTGTCCCGGAATCTGAGGACTTGCACAGTAGAGGTTCCTGGGTGCCGGCCACGCAGTTCCACACAGAGCCAGGAGACACGCGGTTCCGCACGCGGTTCCGCACAGAGCCAGGAGACCTGGGGCCCAGCATTTACCTGTCTAGCACCTTCCTTGGTGATGCTGACCTAGG